CTAACTAATTTACACTCTTAACCTTTGTATCCCGAGAGAGTAAGAGAGAGAGAGAGAGAGAAAGGCTTCTGAGTTTCCGACTTTTTTTCTCCTGTACATTGTTTTCTTGTCTGTCTACTATTCAACATTAAAGTTAATCAGAAAATGGACAGCATTGTTCTCTTTTGTGTAATTGAGACATTTTTTTTTTCTAACGATAATTCCGGTTTTGAATAGGTAAGCTATGCCACTTTCCGGCTTTAAATCGTTTTTATTGTTCTTCTATAGAAGAATAAAAAAGATTTGAGCAATGCGTGAAAACAAAAACAATTTTTCTTTTTTAACAAAAAGAATAATCTCTTGTGATTTTATAAAAAAGTAAGTACTTGTACATATACCACGGCAATGAAGATGTCCTCCAGGGTTAACGCTTGACTTCACACAGCAGGAAATCAAAAAAAATATTTTCATTGAGCAGCTTTTGGTAATAGGACAATTCAACACTTATGAAGTGTAAAATCTGTAAAAAAAATACATCTGTTCTAGTCTCATATCTTATTTGTAAACATCTTTTGTCTCAAAAGCTCATATTCTACCGAACATTGAGAGAGAAAATATGACTTCGTTCAGATGGATACTTCACATTCTTATAGAGAACTTTGAGGAACGTAAACGGTAGGGCCACATTACTACGCACAGTACCTTTTTCTCCCGCAATGATTGAAAATAAAATATTTTTTTTATGTCATTTTATGAGAGAAAATGTTGGTATGTATACTGTCCTCTTCTACACTACTACATAATGTGAAACAGGCGGCATATTCAAACTTGAATCGTCTTTTCTTTGTTTTTTTATCTGATCATATATACAAATTTTTAAACAGAACTGTTATTGCGAAAAAATGTGTTCATTTTTTTTTGTCGCGTCTTCTTCTCTAAAGTTGTGGTTGAAATTTAGAATAAAGAGAAATAGACATATCGAGACACATGCAGATAATGGGAGATAGGTATAGATATAAAACATATTTCAGTAGTGATATTAACGTTGTATGACACCCGTGACATTAGCGGCGAGACATTCAGTTTCTTATGATTAGTGGTAAAGAAATTATTATAATAAAACAAAGAAATAAAAGGGATAAAAAGAGAAAAACTGTTATCTTGTATGATAAAAAAATTAATATGTTAAAAATTTTGTTCTATTAAAAGTAACTTTTTATTCTTGTCAAATGTTACGTGTCTATGAGAGATTATCAGAAAATTAGATGAGTCCATTAGTACTTCTAAATCAGTTTTCTTCTTTTTTTTTCTTGTGTGTACAAATACCGTACAATAAGTTTTTTCTTTTGAACAAAAACTATTACTCATATGAAGAAAGTTCTGCCAATTAAACTTGACCTTTCTTTTATTTTAATGAACAATTTTTCGTACGAGTTCTTTATATTTCAAACGTCTTTTGTTGATATAACCTTCTTTTGATCTTGAAATAGAAAGGGATCAATTTTATGTCTCATTTTTATTTTCTAATCGATCGAAGTTATATTCTGTGACTTTGGTGAATGCGAGAGTTAGAGTGCAAAATGATAATCGTTTTTCAGTATCAATTACATGTGTCTATTTGTTTTCTTGAATAGATGTGTATACAAGACAACTAAATCATTTTGTTTTAAAATTTAGTACGATGTTTATATTTGCTGTTATTCACCTTTCATCTAAGAAATACGAAATACTAATTCAAATTCATCTATTTCATACATGTATAGTAAATTAAGTATATGAACTATTTGCAGGCTTAGAACTAGCGCAGTTGTAAATGTAAAATTTCATCAGATCTTGCTTTCAAATAATCAAAACTTCATTTTGTAATTTTCTAGATAGAAATACAGACTTATAAAATTCATTGTCAACGAAAATATACTTTCCAATGACAACAGAGACAGTTTTCAATGCAAAAACAACTAGTGTACACTATCATAATTCCACTACACATTCGTTCGTATTTGATCAGGAGTACCTTGCATAGATTACCAAATCCGCATAAACTACCTCGTAACTCCGATTACTAGGGTAGAAGGCCATTCACAGATCTTCACGACCTATCCTTAAGAAGATATGAATTTTTTATGTCTAACACTTTACGCTGAGAAGACTGGCTTTTTTTCCTCGGTATAAAACAAGTAGCTAGTCTTGTAGATTGAAGCGTTTTCTTCAGAATAAGATGCCTCTTAGCTCTTTGCAACGTTGCATTCAAAAGTTATAATCATTTCGATAAGCGCTTTTTAGAAAAGAGTTTTGTTCTATCATTCCTGGCTTAAATTGCGACTCAACCATATTGGGTACCATACCGACTGGATCAATATTTTCTCCGTTTGAGTTGAAATATTTACCACTAATACCAGTCTCCAAAAAGGCTGAAGTATTTTTGAATTATCCTCAGTATCTTCACTACATACGTCTAGTCCTCCAAGACATCCTCTTATAAACCCTCAACTTTACATCTTAGAGACCTAAATCGAAAAACATCTGGATGTATTGAAGCCTATTATCCGTGGTAAACATTTGAACTCGAACGGAGAAAGGTTTGATGAGGTCAAAACGGTACGAAATGTAAAATCTGGTTTTTCGGAAAATCGTATCTGAAAGCGAATTCCAAGATCTTAGCAAAAAATACGTCCATTTTATATTTTGAAAAGATGCTCTGTTAAGCTCTAGCTCTCGTCGATCAATCATTACGATTGTATAATAAGTCAAGAAATGACGAAGGTATTCTTAATATATACTCATTTTTCTCTTAAATATGACACACTAATTAGAAATTATTTGAAAAAAAACAACTAATACTTGAACAAATTGTAAAAGGTCTTCTACATAAAATTACGTGAAGGATATAGTCACTTTGTATCAGAGATGTGCATGATCAGAATAGATAAATGCACAGAGCATTAAAAAAAATCAGTTGTTTTGCACGCTTCTACTCTGTTCTAGACATTAGCCTTATCAATTATACGTCTTCATTATTTGTCGTCGGACAAAGAAGAAATTGACACATTTTTTCTTCAAAGATTCAAAGTGTCTGTCTTATCGGTTATATAAATGTATAAATGGTAATCAGTTGCGTTACCATTTGTAATATGATACAGACAACATAAGAAAATCATCGTTTATAATCAAAAGTTGCCGAACATTACATTGAAGACAATAGTAACATTCATTATTGAATATATTACAACAAGAAAAAACCAAAAAAAGATCAAATTGAAAAAATTGTCTGAGGGAATCCCTAATGTCATTACTTCTGTCGTTCAATTTTCATTTTAACTTATCAAAATGGCAGTCATTGGAACTGCTTGTTATATGACTGTCTCGACGACAATTTAACATCAGTTTTAGTGTAATTGTACTTTAAAAAGATGTCTATACAAATTATAGAAAACAAAAAACATCTTCATGTTGGTCTCTGTATAATCTAAGTTTTGATATTCTTAATCATCTCTTTACAGACTTAACTTCGTTATATTATCGAAGGCTCTTAATATTCTTTTCGAATACCTTCTGATTAGCCTTGAAAGATTCTTTTAAGTTTCGTTTTAACGACCACTCCATTTTCTTCAATTACATAATCAGTTACATTGCTTGATTCAGTTAAATACATATTTATATTTTTGTACATCTATATATGGTCGAATTATTTTCAAATCAGTGAAATTTTTTTCTACATGTTCTTTATAGCTAATATTGTTAAGTTCATTCGACTAGAAGCTGTGAATTGGTCATTTCAATGTGGTGTATACCCTCTTAAAGAAAAAAAAAATCTCTTTGGCATGCGTAAGTGAAACATGTTCTAAGTTAGTTTTTTTACTAATTCGATGTTAATCGTCATCATTAGGAATATATAAACAAAATTTTTTTAATCATTTCCTCTATCTTATAGTTGTACTACATACTCACATCCGCCTTTTCCTCTGTCTTTCTCTCTTTCTCTCTCCTTTTGTGTCTGTGATAAGAAAAAATGCCATAAGCAAAAGCAAAACTCATCTCAAAAATATGATACAAATCAAAAAAAAAAGTTTTCAGTATTGCATTAACATGTACGTACACAGTAAGAATAGAAAAGAATAAATAAATTCATTAAAATATCAAAATTTAGATCATTTTTATTTATCGATAAGAAGTTGGTACTCAGGTGAATATTAGACGATGCTCTCTGATACAATGTCTGATCAAAAGAGAGACATGATTCATTTTAGAGGGTAAGTTATCAGAGGAAAAGACGATAATTTGACAAGAGCATAATTTTTGCACATCAATGACAAATAGAAATGGTTTCTCATTGAAATACGCCACATATAATTGATACAACATCCACTTAAGGTTGATAACGTACTTTGTGTCGTCTTGCTACATTTGTCCGGCAACGATGAGATTAAATTTGTCTGATTCTATTTATTAGTTTAGCTTCAAGCTAAACATTCATTTTTTTTTCCCTCTTTCATTCATAGTTAATTGTTGTACGAGAAGAGAAAAAGAAAGAACAATTGTGCACATATATTTCCTTTTTTTTCCCTATAGTTCAACGGGGTGAATTGGGAGTATTTCGAAAACTTGAATCGTTACTGAAAACAGTCTGTATATGAAAATTCCAAATGTAACATGTTTTAGTTATTTCAAAGAAGATAGAGTTTATTCTCGTATGAAGTCAAATAATAGCATGATGAAAACTAAAATAGTGTGATAATAAACTGATTCTTATTCTCATTTTTTATTGATTTTTTTTTTCCGTTGATGATTGAAAACGTATGACTATATACTTACGAAAGAAACTTATATTTCGAAAAATATGTAATCTAAGATCGATGAATATCTCTACCGTATGAAACGCTTGTAAACTATTTCAAACTTAATTACATTATTCTCATTAAGAATATCTAATATATTTTTATCTATTATTTTAGATTAGATTAATAGTCAACAAAAGTTTTCTCTCTTTTGATGTCTTCCACCGTTAAACATTTTTATAACGAATGTCGATTATTTTTTACCATTCTATATCTATTTATTATTTAATTTTTTTAATATTAATTCAATATTCATTATCAATTTCAAATTTTAAATTTTCGTCTACAACAACATTACAACGTTTTCTATTCGATGAACAAACACAAACAATTATTGTTGTATCAGTTAATCGTTTATACAAATTATATTCAACGAATTTATCAATACTTGCTGAAATTGATACATCATCAACATTTACTAACACAGAATTATGTACCACCATAATTGGACGAGCTAATGTAACAACAACATCTATCAACATAAATCCTGTACATTATTTTTCAATTAATTCCTATTTATTCAAGTAAGTGATGATATTCAACGAGAATTTCTTAGTGTAAAAAATGTTAATTCTACAGGTAATATGAGTAAATGATGTTCTGTTTGATTTTTTTCTAGCAATCAATTAACGAATAATTCAGCTTATAATCAATTGTTACTGTTAACACCGTCCAATGATTTACTTGTATGTTCGACATCAAATCGTGGTACATGTCAATTACGTTCATCATCAAATTTAACACTTATCGAAAGTTCATCATCAAGAGTTGTCTCAACAAATATTCACTATTCAACATTTGGTTTTATTGGAAATGATTCTATTTTATATACGGCTGTCACATATGATTCGTCTTGTGATTCTTTCTATGAAATTCCAGCATTATCTGGACGATCATTATCATTAAAATCGACAACATTTTTAAAAATATTTAATCATCTTTCCAATGATCTTCACAGTAGTTCATATTCATTACGATTTGTTAATAATCGAATAGCAAGAGAATTTCCAGTACACTATCTTTACGGTTTTGAACATCGATTATTTACCTATTTTTTAACAATTCAAGAATTAGATATACAACAACAACAGCAACATTATTATAATCATTATTCAAGAACATCATCATCACAAAATAGTGGAAAAAAATTATTAACAAAACTCGTTCGATTTTGTCAAAAAACACAACAAGCACCAATTAAAAGTTATGTTGAATTACCATTAACATGTAAATCATTATCATCCAACTATTATCCTTATTTGGTTACTGCTTATTTTGTGAATGAAAATGAGAATTCTAGATTATATGGTGTATTCAGAAATACGACAACATCATCAATTAACAATACATCTCATGCTATTTGTCTATTTTCAATGAAATTTATTCGAGAAAATATTTTTCAAACAATAAAAAATTGTGTAGTCGATGGTATTGGACAGCGTGGTCTCGGATTCATTAGTCCAGATACACATTGTTTACCAAATCAAGTAAGTGACTTTATACAGTTCAAACTGACCAATACTCTTTCACCCTTGAGAACATGATAGAAACACAAATATTTCTGTCTTGACAACTCGGTATAATCTCTATTTATAAGAGTGATCTATATTCGAATCGGTAAAATTACCAAAGAAAAAATTTTAAAATATCAACACAATGACGTCCTTCACTTTGGAGGTCTCATTTTGACGCTGAAACTAAACATTCGTTCAACTCTTGAGCAAAAATATTAAACAAAGTTGAAATTGTCAGACTAAGATCTTTTTTCGTTTAGTAAACAAAAAATTTCTCAATACTAAGTCTTAGTTCTGATATTTTTTTGTAAACTATATTTTTGCTCATGAAATTAAGGCAAAACTATTGATGAATCTTTTAAGCAACGAACTAAAATGAATTTCCAGACACAGTTTTTTCACTGTTCTTGCTTGATAAATAATAGTCAAAAAAGGGCCCTAAATGTTTTTGAATCATGAATGCTTTTTAGCATTTTATCATGTTAAAGAGGTGGTCAAGAACCGAACTTTCAAGGGTAGCTTTAACTCCATTTCTTGACCATTAGCGGTCTGTGTTTTGACAAGTCACTAACATATTATTTCATGTATTATTACATGTTCATTCTTTATATGATCGGGAAACACTTTTTAAAACAATTTATGTACTTTACTGATTTTTTTTTTTTTGTAGAAATTGGATGATATTGATCTCGATTATTGTCCTGACGACGATAGTGTTCAATATCCAATCGGTGGTCACATACCGATTGAACAATCATCAATTATTGAACTGGATGATAAAGTTAATATTACCACCATTGAAATCGTTGTCAATAGTCAAAATGACGATCGGAAAAAAACCGTGAATATTAAAGATAATGATGATATTATTTTATTTGGTGATGATAAAAGTTCAATTTACATGGTAAGATTGTATGATGTGCGATAAAGAGTGCTTGAAAGCTATTTTTTTAATGATAAAAGCCAACACATTATGAATGCTTTGCATATTAAAAAGACGAATTCTTCTATAATATTCTTCAGTTTGGATTGTTAAAGCAATTACTTTTTGAAGGAGAATAAAAATTCATCAGTATAATTTATTATCACTCTCTTGAGATTATAGTCTGTTACTCTTCTTGCAGAGGGATATAAGAATTCTTCGACTATGAACACTTGGGGTGTTTTGAACTGGAGTCGAAAGCATTTTTTATAACTATTATCGGCGTTAAAATATAAGGCCGGTAGCTGTTTTTCAGATAACTCCAAAACGATAAAAGAGAGAGACTCTCGGTTTTCAACACTCGAAAGAGGACACTTTAACCAATATTTTCACGAGCAAAATCGCTATCCAAAAATATCTGTAACACTGGTTTTCCACGAGGTCTCTGGAAAACCAGCTCTGATTTCTGGAAATTGACATAGAAATCTACCGACCTTTTGCATAGATAGATAGTCCAAAGTGTCCTCTATAAAATAAGGTCTAAACAAAAGTTTTGTTTTGCTTGGTTCGGGCACTATAGATCCTTTTCCTGAAGCCTTAGGACTTCTCTGTCGTTAGGTTTAGGACCTTCGGGATGCATGAAAACATAGGTTATCAACTGTGCTGAGTCTCATGGCACTGTTTGTTCTGAGAAAAAGTTTTAGAGCCTAACGAAACCTAAGTAGTACGCAAACCAGACTTTTTCGGCTGTGTTTAGCTAATATTTAAAAATTCATAACTCACTCAAAATACATCAGAGCGAGTTGAAATCTTCAGGATGCACAGTATCTGAACTGCTTTATATTCTGCTTAAAAAGAAATCTACAAAAAGAGAATCGCGGGGACTGCGGTTTTCTGAAAAGACTTCTGGAAAACCGCTGAACAAATATTGGTTTTTCAAGTTTGCCGCTACCATAATAACGTCTATTTGACAAAATTAACCATATCCTGAAGATTTCAACTCTCTCTGATGTATTTTGAGAGAGTTATGAATTTTTAAATATTAGCTAATAAGCTTGATTTGACTACTATTTAACATTATTTTTAGGATCATTTTTTGACTGAATCCCCTTCCCTCAATCTTTTCAAATAAACTAAGAATTTCGGTAGTTTCTGCTCTCGCAAATTTTCTATTCATTTTTATTTTATTTGAAAAACTGTACATACTTCCAAGAACTTCTCTTGTTAACTGACATATTCATCTCTCTAGTTTCAAAACTCAAAATCGACTGTTGTTCAACGCCGTCAAATTTTGTCAAATTATTCACAATCAGTAATACTATCAATGAAAATTATGAATAAAACAACTGGAGAAATGTTAATATTGACAAATAATGAAGTATAGTCTATTTCTTATGATTTTTTTATGTCAGTTCTGTTATATACGTTTACATTTCTTCTAGATAATAAAAGAAAATTTATTTGAATGTGAAAAACATCAAACATGTGATGATTGTTCAATGGCAAATAATTTCAATTGTCATTGGTGTTCGGAACAAAACAGGTAATTAAAAAATGATAAAAATTAAATTTGCATGAATTACATACAAATTTTTATACAATTTAGATGTGTATCAATCTTTGAATGTTCATACGGTATTAATCAGCGAAAAAATAAATTCAATATGTGTACAAATATTCATAATGTGATACCAAATAAAATCTCATTGAATAAGTCAAATTCATGGGTAAAATAAACTTTTTGAAAAGTATTTTTATCAAAATTACTGAATTTCTTTTCTTTTTCTTCTACTTTTAGCTTGACATAACACTTAGTTCTTCGTTAGAGACAAATATTCGAAATGATTTATACTCATGTCAATTTACAAATGAGAAAAATGCCTATAAATTGTTGACAACAGCTACTTTATTAAAAAATAATATTCTCTATTGTCCAATACCATTTTCGTCAAGTTTTAATGAGCAATTGTCCGAAAATAAGCGTATGTATCTCTAAGTCTTTCTTCTTCATCGAATGTGTTCACTCGCTTTAAACCTATTGAACATAAATTAATTATTTCATTTTTTTTAAAGCTCTTC